GTGTGTGTGTGTGTGTGTGTGTGTGTGTGTGTGTGTGTGTGTGTGTGAAGAGTTACAGGCTGTCCCTGCATGCCCAGCTCAGGTCGTGGTTTAGGACAGAACCCTCTAAGATTCAGACAGCTGGTGCTCACCATCAGTGGAGCACCAAAATCCTTCCCGGTGGTGAGGATTTCTTTGGTGTAATCTCACACCCATTGATTCTCCTTGCATACACCTGAGCGTGAGCACTCACCACTGGCTTCTCACAGGGCACTCCTCATACTGTGGCAGCCAGCCACTTGCTGGTTCTCTTCATATACTTTTCAGCTGCATTTTGGTGCTTCATGGGGTGCATTTCTCCCATTTCTTCTTCATAGCCGTGTGTTTAACACATGAAGCCTTAAGTAAATGCTGATTGGCTTTTTCTGTGTCTTCTCTTCCTTGTATCAGGTATCTTTGCCAATTTCCAGAGCCTTGCTAGCATAACTAATGATAATATGGGCAGACTATGGGGTCCTTCTCAACATCGGGAGCCTGGGCTGTATTCTGAAATATCTGTCTTTCTTCTGGTCAGATAACTGTCACAGTGCTCTGCTTAGCCAGCCATGCACACTACCAATTAGTTTTCGGAGGAAGCCTTTGGTAGATAGAACTCATTGTAGGAGAAAAGGCTTGATTGGGGCAGGCAGAAAGAGGCATCTTCTCCAGTTTTATGTTACTTCTTTTCATTTCAGACGTGCCTTCGGGAGAAACTGCACCTCGGGGTCCTGTGAGGCATGTTGGCGTGTGGGGCCCTGGAAGCCCTGTTCAGCAGTCTGTGGCAGGGGCTTCCAGTCCCGCAGAGTCGACTGCATTCACACAGCAAGCTGCACGCCTGTGGCTGACAGATACTGTGTTCAGATGAAGCCGGCTTCCTGGAGGCACTGCCTTGGGCCTTCCTGTGATAGTACGTACCCCTCTCAGGTATCAGCAGCTCCCCAGAAGCCTTGCCAAAGCTGGGACACATCCAAGTCACATCGGAGGGCTGGGGGCGCAGGCAGCAGCACTGATTCTTCAGAGCAGTGGTAGCTGCTCCACACACACACATTTTAGCAGTCTCCTCCGCTAAGACTGAGCCAATGGGCTCCTATTAGTGAGCAAATGTCCTAAAATTGCATAGTGAATGTAATTGCCTGTTACTTTTCAGGGGTGAGGGGAGGCAAGTATGAGGTTTTCAGAAGTTTTCCAAGGGGCTTATGACCTTGCAAAAAGTAACCTCTGCCCTCAGCCCTGAGAGCTGTAGGACAGAGGGCCTGTGAGAATCTCAGGGAGCCACAGGAAGCCAGCTGACCATGTGGAGAAGTGATCCCACTGCTTTGCTGAAATGAGTGCAAATAGTAGTAGCTCCAGGCGTGCCTCGCTTCTTACTCGTTCTCTAATGAACGCCATGCTATGGATTCTTTTCTCTTTTGCAGGAGACTGCAGAGACACAACTCACTACTGTGCGTTCGTAAAGCACCTTAATCTGTGCTCTCTGGCCCTCTACAAACAAAGGTGCTGCCAGTCATGCCAAGAAGGATAAAGCTTTGGCAAGGTTGTGATGCTGCTGTAGTGAGAAATGAAAACTATTGAGGCTCTTTCCCCCATGCCCCTGGTTCAAAGCCATATACATCTTAAAGTCTCTAGAGCCTGTGATCGAGCAGAGGTTGATGCCGAAACAGTGCCTGCTACAATTTTGTAAAGTTACCTCTTCCAGCAGTTGGTTTTTAGTTCCAGTTTCTATAAGTGATGCATTCTAGGATTAACCTAAACTCGTCAACAGCCATGCCCTTGTACTCGGGCCCTCGTCATGAGCACATCAGCACCTCCTGTGATTTGTAGACCAGCAAATAGTGGCCCATCCCAAGGAGTCTGTAGCTGAGAGCTCCTCTCAGGCTGGAGAGTTCCAGCACACTTGTGCAGTACTTACTTTTTAAAAGCTCTGGCCAGTAGCTGTTCAGATGTTGGCACTAACGGCAGTTTACAGATCCGTATGTCTATTATGTGAAGAAGAGACAATCTCTCTAGACAGCTTATAACACCAACTGAGCCGAGGATTCGCCACAGATGGCATCTTGTCTTCACTCTTAAATCACCTATGGAAGAAAACATAGTAGACATGGCTGCCATTTTCATAACTACAGAAATCTATCTGTGACCAAATGAGGCATCTTGAAAATCAAAGAAGAAAACCTGACCTTTTCTACTGATTTGATTGGAAGTATATTCAAAGCTTTCTTTTAAGAGCTGTGAATGAAACTTTTTCTAAGTACTGTTCTCTTGCACACAGAGATCAAATCCTTATTAGATGTAATTTATGCATACAATAATATTCCTGAGGATTTTATTTTGGAAAGTTTATATGAAAATAACCTAAATAAGAAACATGATAGTTGAAAGAATTGTTTATGGTAAATGATTATTTTAATTTCAGCTGATACTGTCAATAAAAACAAAGTCCATTAGGATGAGGGTGGAAATGACAATTTGGGGGTTAGGAGCTCGAGCTGGGATTTGGGTAGTGCTTTGGAGAAGAAGGGCTGAATTTATTTTGGACTAGCACTTGGATTCAGTTGGGCGAGAAAGGAAGTTACACTATGGCTAGGACTAGATCTGACTTTAAGGTTAGGGCCAGTTTAGGAAGGGGTTGGCCAATGCTGGTGTTTGCAACATTGGAGTAAATTTTGCTGCTGAGAAAGGTTCAGGCTTGCATTCAATTTTAACTCCTCCAACTGATTCGACTATGGGGACCTTTCCATGGCATTTTCCCAGTTGTGGCTTTAGATGCTACACAACCCCAAATCAGTGATCCTGGCTTCTGTACCCAGTGTCTGGGATGCTTACGCACATAGTGCCCACAGCCTCCTGGCAAGCAACCTTTCCTGAGGCAGGTTGTGTTGGACCTACCTCCTGATCAGCATGTGAACAGCACATTGTGGCTTTGGATTTGTCTGGAGAGAAGCTTGCCGAGCCTCTCTGCCATCTTCTGAACACAGGTCTCTCTCACATTCCAACTTTAGCCTCACCGACACTGGGATGAACACTACTGTAGGTGGAGGGTTTGGTGGTCTGGAACAAACAGGGGAAAGGAAAGAGCACACCAGCCCTTGAGTTGTTAGTCATCAATCACATTTGATTGCTGAACTTATTAAATTAAAAGAAAGATCACTTGTAAAATACTCTCTGTATATATTTATTATATGACTCAAAAGTGCAATATTTTATTTTGTACAATATGTAATAAAGACATGGGACATATATTTTTCATACTAACAAAATTTCTTATTAAACTGCTTTACCTTTGTATTTAAGGTTAAAAGGACGAATTTTCAGTTGTTATTGTACTTTTGTCTTTTTAACATCCAAATGGCATTCCTGTGTACTGTATTTTACTACTGTTTTTTTATAACATAAGAGATAATGTTTCCCTTTGATGATCCTTAATTCAAAAATAAATTCACTTTTAGTATCCAATGGCATCCTTAGTGGCTTCTCTGTGTTGTGTTTTTGGTAGACGTTGGACTGCCCCTTTGTTAGTCCAGGAGGTCCCTTAGGGAGTTTGATATCCCCGATTGTCCTCTGTACGCATTACAAGATTGAGAAAGCACAGAAATTCACACCGATTCCAAATCTCAGTCCTTTATATCTTTGTGAATTTATGTCTTTGTCCTTTGTGTCTTTGAAAAATGCCAATGGCAAAATAAGTAGAAACCTGGATAGATAACTGACAGGCAGAGAAGTAGGTGACAAGTCTGTCGAGAGCAAGGCATACTAATTCTTTATATTTTTGGAAGACTTGTTTTAGGCTCACAGTAAATTTGAGCAGGAAGTACAGATTTCAGCACATGCTTTCTCTCACAACATGTGCAGACCTCCCCTACTAGCAATATCCCCTCCACATTTCTGTACCTACTGTAACTCGTGATCTATATGGATACATCCTAACTGAAATTCTGCAGTTTCTACTACGGTTTGGTTTTGGTGCTGCACATTTTATGTCTCTTGGCAAATGTAGAACATGTATACATTTTATTATCCTAAACATCTCTTCTTTTGCCTCTTTCCTTCTTTAATTTTTGTTTTTTGTTTGTTTTTCAAGGGTTTCTCTGTGTAGCCTTGGCTGTCCTGGAACTAGCTTTGTAGACCAGACTGGCTGTGAACTCACAGAAATCCGCCTGCCTCTGCTTCCCGAACGCTGGGATTAAAGTGTGGACCACCACCACCCGGTCCCACTTCAGTGTTGTGAAAGATGCCTGTTTTGTGTGTGTCTATCTTCCTTTCTTGAATGTGTATGTCCAGTCCAGGCATTCTTGCCCCGGTACTACTTCTGGTCATTTTTAGAGATCACTTGTTGTATTCACATGGGTGTATGTCCCAGTCCTGTATTCTGCTCCATAGATCTGTTCTTTTACCAGTGTAACGTTGTTGTCATTTTGGTAAGTCTTGAGGTTGATTACTGTCAGCCCACAACTTTGTTCTTCCCCCTCAATGCTGTTCCACCATTAAGGGTCTTTGGCCTCTTTATAGTAATGTTCAAATCATTTTTTCGGTATCCATTGTGTGGGTTCCCTGCAAACACCATAGCCAACAGTGTTGATTTGATCCATGTGAGGCAAGAAAGAAGTCTAGTACACCTAGACTCAGTAGCAGATAATGGTTCAAACTTAAAAAGTCTGACACCAAATTGTCTGTTTCAGGCATACTTAAAGACAGTACAATTTGGAAATAGTTTTCTGGTGATAATTAACTCAAAAAAAATGTACAACAGAAACCTAAGGCAGGTTACATTGAGACTGTTTGTAAACCCACGACCTCTTCCATAAAAATGGGTTCTGTTGCTCTGGGGAAGAATCTGGCACGGCCTCAGGCACAAAGACTGCACAAAGACCACCAGGCTATAAATCGCATCCGCTCTTATTTGTCAAGTACATGAGACAGTTCCCATAAAGATGGGCTGTACAGATTGATGAGAAGGCAGGCTCAAAGTAAACAATGCTCAAGGTAAGAGTCTGGGGAGGATAACCTACAAATTAGCTGAAATTAACATAGGAGTCTGGGGAGCCAGGTAGGGCCTGGCCATACAGATGTTATAGAGGTCACTAGGCTACTAATCACATCCTCTCCCAGGGACAACCCTGCATGTTTAACTTTTCCAGTTTCCCTAATGCTTATCTGTGAGCACACAGACTTAGTGTCTCCTACAATCCATAAAGTAACTTGCTAAGGTTTTGATGGAGATTATATTGAAACTACAGAATAAGCCGAAAACTATCATCTTGATAATATTGTGTCTTCCTATTAGTTAATGGAGAATATCTCTATTTGAATGTTATTTTACCAGAGATTTGTAGACTTTTTCACATAGATCTTGAACACATTTTGTTCAGTTTATATTACTTAATTTTGAATGATTATAATGTAAATAGAGTTGTTTTTAAAGTTCAAATTGCACCTGCTTCCTGTTGGCATGTAGGAAATAAACCTTTCCCCCCAGAAGAACTGGGGATTGAACTCAGAGCCAGGCAAGTGCTCAACTGCAAAGCTACATTCATAGCCCAGTAATTGACTTTTGTATGTGTAACCATATAGACAACATTATAATTATTTATTCTTTCTAGAAATTGTTGTTTAGTTTTGGGGGAACTGTTTTATGTAAATTAGTGTCATGAGTGAACAGACTTCCCTCCAATCCCATGTACTGCTGGCTGCTTTTTCTTGCTTTGCTACATTTGCCTAGAGTTCGAGTCTGTTAGAAATGGGTGTGGAGAGGAATTCTTGCCTTGATCCTAGTCTAGTGGGAATGCTTCAAGTTTTTCATCACTAGGCCTGATATTAGTTGAAAGGTTCCTGTGTGTATTCTGTGCTGCTAAAGAATTTTTCTTCTTGCCAATTACTGAAAGTCTTATAATAATAAATGTTGAATTTTAATAAATGCTTTTTCAGAATAGTCTGCTTATGTCATAGATATTTTTGCCACAGAAACAAGCTTTATATTTTACTTAAATTTATTTTTATGTAGTAAATAAAACTGACAAAAGAAAGAGGGAACAGAACTCCGGGTGTCCATGCAGTGAGGACAGTGAGAAACCCAGCAAGCCTTTTTTGATAGCAGTCTGGAAACTGTAAGTTTGCAACATCTCAAACAGTCAAAATATGTGTGTGGGGGGGTGCTGAGTACATGTGTGTGTAGCTAAGAGACACATTTTCAGGAGTCAGCTTTCCCTTTCACTACAGGCTCCAGGGACTGAACTCAGACCATCAGGCTTGCGGGATAGGAGCTCTCAACAGCTGAGCCAACTGGCCAGCCGTCATTCTATGGAGTCTCTGTGAATACTACTGTTGAGGGAACTAAGACCCTAGGCTCAGAAAGTAGAAACAGAGACTTTATAAAAGAATGACATTCGTGGGCTTTGGGTGCTGATGTGCTCATGGACCTGCACGGTTGTTAAACATCACCTGTGTCAGCTGGGTTGGTGCTTACCTGTTTCCTCTGGTAGCATGCAG